TTATAAAGATAATAATTAATTATTTTGTTAAAACTCGATAAGTATCCTAATTATATTTTAGATTTTTTTTATATTTTAAAATGAGATGTTTATCCTCTATTTGATTATTTTATCCGTAATTAGTTACACGAATTCAAATATTGAGCTTTAATAAGTTGTAATAAATGCATAATTTACTTGTAATCTTGAATTTTAAGTAATATGCATCAATATACAGTACTTTATGCATAAAAAATGGTTTTTAAGAGTTTTTATCAAATACTAGATGTACTTAATGCATAATTTACTTGTAAACCTAAATTTTAAGTAATACGCATCAATATATTGTACTTTATGCATAAAAAATAGTTTTTAAGAGTTTTTGTCAAATGTTTTATAATATAGTATAGATTTTTATTATAATTTAATTTATGTATAATAGCAAAGTAATTTATTTTTGGTTTAATAATATAATTTTTATTAAATATAATAATTAAACATTCGGTTCGAAACTCGATAATTATCTTAATTATATTTTAGATTTTTTATTTTTTAAAATTAGATATTTATCATCTATTTGATTATGTTTATCTGTAGTTAGTTACACGAATTCAAATATCGGGCTTTAATAAGTTGTACTTAATGTATAATTTATTTGCAATCTTCAATTTTAAGTAATATGCATCAATATACAATACTTTATGCATAAAAAATGATTTTTAAGAGTTTTTGTCAAATGCTTTATAATATAATATAGATGTACTTAATGCATAATTTATTTGTAAACTTGAATTTTAAGTAATATGCATCAATATACAATACTTTATGCATAAAAAATAGTTCTTAAGAGTTTTTGTCAAATGTTTTATAATATAGTATAGATTATAAAACTTTTAAGTGTACTCTTAAATTTTATAAAACTAAAGTGATGCACCTTAACATCATCATAATAAAAATAAAAATAAAACAAAGTTACAAATTTTATTCGCATCCCTCTCTTTTTATAACACTTTTTCATTCTTCTTTTATTAACTCTCTTCCAATGTGGGACAACTTCACCGACAATTCTATAGTTTTTTTGATTTTTTTAATTAGTATTTTGATTAAAAAAAATATTGGTTAGTTTTTATAGTTAAAAAATGCAAAATATTATTTAAATGTCTAAAATATAGGGATCCTTGCCAAAATAACCACCTAAAATTAACAAATTACACTTTTAGCTCATTTTTGAAAAAATTCACTAAATGCCCTTGAATTATCCTGTTAACACCGTTAGGTGCGTACAAAGATCATTTTGCAATTAATGAAGTTATAATTTAAAAAAAAAACAAATTTTCTAGGGTAGATCTCACCCTTACGCACCACGCAACCTTTGGTGCTTCAAAAGTTCAAAGGGCTCCACAAATTTATTTTATTTTAAAAAAAAATATTTTTCTTAATTTTTTTAAAGAATTTAATCTTTTTAAATATTTTATTTTTTTAAAATTATAATTTTTCTTAGAAATATAACTTTTTTTACAAATTTACTTTTTTATTAAAAAAAATTTGGTTAGAAATTTAGTTTTTTTTTCAAAATTTAAATTTTTTTCTTAATTTTTTTTAAGTTTAAGTTATTTAAATTTAAATTATTTAAATTTGTTTTTATTAAATTTTTAAATTTTTTTCTTAAAAAACTATTTTCTTAAAAAAAGTTTAAGTACTTTTCAGAAAGACCCATACGAACCATTAATGTTGGGTTACAAGATCTCAAGCACAGCGGAAAATAAACCGTAACCCTCCAAGGACCTATACGAACCGGAATAAATTGGGTGTTTCGAAATTATACATCGCAGTTAGTGAAACTTTGAATCATAGCAACAAACAAAGCTTGATGCCTCCACGGTATCCACACGAACAATTCCAATCATTTGCCTTCTCGTGATGTTAGTCAAGGTTTCAAAACTTAGAAAGAAAAATGAGCATATTGTTGTAGGTGATTTTGAGAGAGAATTGCATGACCAAAGATACTAGCATAAAAATGTCATACATTTTATATGGATATGAGATGTATGGCCTAACCATCACCATGCCTCCACCATGCTTGAGTGGAAGACATTCATACACCATCACTCTTTTACAAAGTTCATCCCTAGTCATCTTTACTTATGTCCAACATAAATAATATCTGATTATATTTAATCAGATTAAATCGAAACAAATCAGATATGATAATTAAACATTTTAATTATTGAAACTCCTTATTCGAATATGTTCAAAGCATRTGACTCAATGGGTTCTYGACATGTTGGTAATAAATATAAATATCATATTTATAGTTATAAACGATGAGCGGTATCTAGCAATACATCACTATTACCCAAATGACGAGAATTGGTGATATAACAAATTATCGGTTTGTAGTCAATTTTAGTTTTACACATTTAATTATTTTGTTCTTGATGTCCAGATTGAACACGAGACATTAAATGTGTCATTCTCGTTATGTCTAATCTCTAGTTTCTTGATTCCCTAACATACTAATAAAAAATAGATAATGATATCTCATATCAATTATCTAAGCATGCATGCATTTGTTTAGTATATATATTTATCAAGGGGCCCAGAGACATCACTCCCGTCATAAAGGAGGGACAAATCATATCTCGATACATGCTAATTCAATCATGTGATATGCAACATATCCAGCTATCATTCTGTCACCCGGTTACGGAATTATTAGAATAAATGTCAAAATACATTACTCACACATAAGAAACTCCATGTTCTCAAGTCAAAGAATTACATGTACATTGACCATATGAGAAACACTTATGACACTTACATTAGGGATGGTAATGGACCCCGACCCGTCGGGTAACCCGGTCCACCCGCCCCGATCGGGGACGGGGAATCCCCGAAAAATCGGGTCCCGGGGACGGGGACGGGGATCCCCGCTTGGCGCAATCCGGGGATGGGGACGGGGACGGGTATAGCACTCCCCGGCCCGCCCCGTACCYGTTATTTATATATATGTGTTTTATAGGAATTTAGGCTTTTGACTTTAGGCTTTTGCTGTAAAATATGGTATGAATGCATCCTTTCCTTCCTCAGCCCAATCCACACAACACTTTTATTTTCCCTCCAAGACCTCCACGTCCACGGCTCCACGCACGACAGTGACGACACGCACCAGTCACGACTCAGTACTCACGACGACGCTGCCTGCTGCTCTCCTCTCCACCACGACGCTGCTGCCTGCTGCTCTCCTCTCTCCTTTTCGACAGGCCGTCGGCGACGGTGACAGTCCGACGGCGACAGTCCCACGGCCTCTCCCTCTCGGCTCTCCCTCTCGGCCTCTCCCTCTCGGCTCTTCTTCTCGGCCTCTCCTTCTCGGCCTCTCCCTCTCGGCCTCTCCCTCTCGAACTCTCCCTTGTGTGTTATCGTAAATGTTAGGTCTCTTGATCACCTTCTTGTTAAATTATTGGTTTACCTTTATACCTCATCTATTTGCCTATTTTTTCTTGATTTGTAAACTAATGTGGACCCAAATTAGTATATTATTGTGGTTGATTAATTTATTTAAATAAGTTAGGGTTTTGACTTTTTTTATTTTAATTATCATAATCTGTGGTTTTGACTTTCTTTATTAATAAGTTAGGGTTATGTTTACTTTATAGATTATGTTTACAATGTTTGTACACTTATATCATAATCTGTGGTTTAAAATATTCC